GGCGAAGAAACTTGAAAAAACGTCGTAGTATAATAAGACATAAAACATCATAGTATAGTAAGGCGAAGAAACTTGAAAAAACGTCGTAGTATAATAAGACATAAAACATCATAGTATAGTAAGGCGAAGAAACTTGAAAAAACGTCGTAGTATAATAAGACATAAAACATCATAGTATAGTAAGGCGAAGAAACTTGAAAAAACGTCGTAGTATAATAAGACATAAAACATCATAGTATAGTAAGGCGAAGAAACTTGAAAAAACGTCGTAGTATAATAAGACATAAAACATCATAGTATAGTAAGGCGAAGAAACTTGAAAAAACGTCGTAGTATAATAAGACATAAAACATCATAGTATAGTAAGGCGAAGAAACTTGAAAAAACGTCGTAGTATAATAAGACATAAAACATCATAGTATAGTAAGGCGAAGAAACTTGAAAAAACGTCGTAGTATAATAAGACATAAAACATCATAGTATAGTAAGGCGAAGAAACTTGAAAAAACGTCGTAGTATAATAAGACATAAAACATCATAGTATAGTAAGGCGAAGAAACTTGAAAAAACGTCGTAGTATAATAAGACATAAAACATCATAGTATAGTAAGGCGAAGAAACTTGAAAAAACGTCGTAGTATAATAAGACATAAAACATCATAGTATAGTAAGGCGAAGAAACTTGAAAAAACGTCGTAGTATAATAAGACATAAAACATCATAGTATAGTAAGGCGAAGAAACTTGAAAAAACGTCGTAGTATAATAAGACATAAAACATCATAGTATAGTAAGGCGAAGAAACTTGAAAAAACGTCGTAGTATAATAAGACATAAAACATCATAGTATAGTAAGGCGAAGAAACTTGAAAAAACGTCGTAGTATAATAAGACATAAAACATCATAGTATAGTAAGGCGAAGAAACTTGAAAAAACGTCGTAGTATAATAAGACATAAAACATCATAGTATAGTAAGGCGAAGAAACTTGAAAAAACGTCGTAGTATAATAAGACATAAAACATCATAGTATAGTAAGGCGAAGAAACTTGAAAAAACGTCGTAGTATAATAAGACATAAAACATCATAGTATAGTAAGGCGAAGAAACTTGAAAAAACGTCGTAGTATAATAAGACATAAAACATCATAGTATAGTAAGGCGAAGAAACTTGAAAAAACGTCGTAGTATAATAAGACATAAAACATCATAGTATAGTAAGGCGAAGAAACTTGAAAAAACGTCGTAGTATAATAAGACATAAAACATCATAGTATAGTAAGGCGAAGAAACTTGAAAAAACGTCGTAGTATAATAAGACATAAAACATCATAGTATAGTAAGGCGAAGAAACTTGAAAAAACGTCGTAGTATAATAAGACATAAAACATCATAGTATAGTAAGGCGAAGAAACTTGAAAAAACGTCGTAGTATAATAAGACATAAAACATCATAGTATAGTAAGGCGAAGAAACTTGAAAAAACGTCGTAGTATAATAAGACATAAAACATCATAGTATAGTAAGGCGAAGAAACTTGAAAAAACGTCGTAGTATAATAAGACATAAAACATCATAGTATAGTAAGGCGAAGAAACTTGAAAAAACGTCGTAGTATAATAAGACATAAAACATCATAGTATAGTAAGGCGAAGAAACTTGAAAAAACGTCGTAGTATAATAAGACATAAAACATCATAGTATAGTAAGGCGAAGAAACTTGAAAAAACGTCGTAGTATAATAAGACATAAAACATCATAGTATAGTAAGGCGAAGAAACTTGAAAAAACGTCGTAGTATAATAAGACATAAAACATCATAGTATAGTAAGGCGAAGAAACTTGAAAAAACGTCGTAGTATAATAAGACATAAAACATCATAGTATAGTAAGGCGAAGAAACTTGAAAAAACGTCGTAGTATAATAAGACATAAAACATCATAGTATAGTAAGGCGAAGAAACTTGAAAAAACGTCGTAGTATAATAAGACATAAAACATCATAGTATAGTAAGGCGAAGAAACTTGAAAAAACGTCGTAGTATAATAAGACATAAAACATCATAGTATAGTAAGGCGAAGAAACTTGAAAAAACGTCGTAGTATAATAAGACATAAAACATCATAGTATAGTAAGGCGAAGAAACTTGAAAAAACGTCGTAGTATAATAAGACATAAAACATCATAGTATAGTAAGGCGAAGAAACTTGAAAAAACGTCGTAGTATAATAAGACATAAAACATCATAGTATAGTAAGGCGAAGAAACTTGAAAAAACGTCGTAGTATAATAAGACATAAAACATCATAGTATAGTAAGGCGAAGAAACTTGAAAAAACGTCGTAGTATAATAAGACATAAAACATCATAGTATAGTAAGGCGAAGAAACTTGAAAAAACGTCGTAGTATAATAAGACATAAAACATCATAGTATAGTAAGGCGAAGAAACTTGAAAAAACGTCGTAGTATAATAAGACATAAAACATCATAGTATAGTAAGGCGAAGAAACTTGAAAAAACGTCGTAGTATAATAAGACATAAAACATCATAGTATAGTAAGGCGAAGAAACTTGAAAAAACGTCGTAGTATAATAAGACATAAAACATCATAGTATAGTAAGGCGAAGAAACTTGAAAAAACGTCGTAGTATAATAAGACATAAAACATCATAGTATAGTAAGGCGAAGAAACTTGAAAAAACGTCGTAGTATAATAAGACATAAAACATCATAGTATAGTAAGGCGAAGAAACTTGAAAAAACGTCGTAGTATAATAAGACATAAAACATCATAGTATAGTAAGGCGAAGAAACTTGAAAAAACGTCGTAGTATAATAAGACATAAAACATCATAGTATAGTAAGGCGAAGAAACTTGAAAAAACGTCGTAGTATAATAAGACATAAAACATCATAGTATAGTAAGGCGAAGAAACTTGAAAAAACGTCGTAGTATAATAAGACATAAAACATCATAGTATAGTAAGGCGAAGAAACTTGAAAAAACGTCGTAGTATAATAAGACATAAAACATCATAGTATAGTAAGGCGAAGAAACTTGAAAAAACGTCGTAGTATAATAAGACATAAAACATCATAGTATAGTAAGGCGAAGAAACTTGAAAAAACGTCGTAGTATAATAAGACATAAAACATCATAGTATAGTAAGGCGAAGAAACTTGAAAAAACGTCGTAGTATAATAAGACATAAAACATCATAGTATAGTAAGGCGAAGAAACTTGAAAAAACGTCGTAGTATAATAAGACATAAAACGTCAAAGTATAGTAAGGCATAAAAACTGAAAAAACGTCATAATATAATAAGGCAAAAAAACCTGAAAAAACGTCATAGTATAGTAAGGCATAAAAAGTTGAAAGAACGTCATAGTATAATAAGGCATAAGAAGTTGAAAAAACGTCATAGTATAGTAAGGCATAAAAAGTTGAAAAAACGTCAAAGTATAGTAAGGCATAAAAACTTCAAAAAAACGTCATAATATAATAAGGCATAAAAAGTCATAGTATAGTAAGGCAAAAAAACTTGAAAAAACATCATAGTATAATAAGGCATAAAAACTTGAAAAAACTTCATAGTATAGTAAGGCATAAAACGTTATAGTATAGTAAAGCATAAAAACTTAAAAAAACATCATATTATAGTAAGGCATAAAAACTTGAAAAAACATCATAGTATAATAAGGCATAAAACGTCATAGTCTAGTAAGGCATAAAAACTTGAAAAAACGTCACAGTATAATAAGGCATAAAACGTCATAGTATAGTAAGGCAAAAAAACTTGAAAAAACATCATAGTATAGTAAGGCATAAAAACTTGAAAAAACGTCATAGTATAGTAAGGCATAAAACGTCATAGTATAGTAAGGCAAAAAACTTGAAAAAACATCGTAGTATAGTAAGGCAAAAAACTTGAAAAAACTTCATAATATAATAAGGCACAAAATGTCATAGTATATTAAGGCAAAAAAACTTGAAAAAACATCATAGTATAGTAAGGCATAAAATGTTATAGTATAGTAAGGCATAAAAACTTGAAAAAACGTCATAGTATAGTAAGGCATAAAACTTCATCGTATAGTAAGGCAAAAAAACTTGAAAAAACATCATAGTATATATAGTAAGGCATAAAAAGTCATAGTATAGTAAGGCATAAAATTTGAAAAAACATTATCGTATAGTAAGGCAAAAAAATTTGAAAAACACGTCATACTAAAATAATGCATAAAACGATATATTATAGGTAATATATTAAGGTATAAAAATGTCAAAAAAACATCATATTATAACAAGGCATAAAAACTTGAAAAAACATCATAGTATAGTAAGGCATAAAAATGCCAAAAAACGTCACAGTATAATCAAGCATGAAACCACATACTATAGTATAGTATAAAGATGTCAAAAAATGTCATAGCATAGTAAGGCATAAAAAGTCTTAGTATAGTAAGGCATAAAAAATTGAAAAAACATCATAGTATAGTAAGCTATAAAAATGCCAAAAATGTCATAGTATAGTAAAGTATGAAATGACATATTATAGTGAGGTATAAAGATATTAAAAAATGTCATAGTATAGTAAGGCATAAAAATGTCAAAAAACATCATAGTATAGTAAGGCTCAAAAATATCAGTATAGCAAGGCATGAAAAGTCATGGTAAGGCATAAAATCCTGAAAAAACATCATAGTATAGTAAGGCATAAACATACCAAAAACATCATGTCATGTTAAGGTATAAAATTGTCAAAAAATGTCATAGTATAGTAAGGCATAAAATGTCATATTATAGTAGGGCATAAAAATATGGTGAGAATAACACAAGTAAACCAGAATTATTTATTTTTTTCTTGTTTTTTATTGTTTACAAAATACCAACATAAATACATAAGAGGAAGCTGTGTGATATTGCTGTGTGTGGATGTGTGTGTGTATGTGAAACAGGAGCAGACAGAGGAGACAGTGCTGAGGCAAACGCTCCTCCATTCTGTAACAAACACACAATGGCTTTCAGTCAGAAAGAAAAAGTCACCTTCACATACTGTAGACAGCGAAGAGCCAAGACATGTCAAACAATGAAATAAAAATCACATTAAATATAAAGAACCAAAATGATAAAATACTGCAATATAAAAGCAGCTAAACCTCAGATCTAATAAAAAGATGGTGAGGAGGAGGAGGAGGAGCACGACAGCACATAAAGTGTGTGAAGGACCATCTATACGCAAAACTGGATATTCAAAATGTTTTTTTTCTTTCAGAGTGCAGCCCTTACAAACCCACTGGGCATGTGGACCTTCCCACAGTGACAGTGATTGTTTTATTTCAGTGACGAGAAACAGAGCAATGGCAACAACTGGGAAAATCAACCCTGCAGGTCAAAGGGAAAAAACAGATGGAACAGTGAGACATGACGCTTCATCAACATGCCCAGGTTTCAGGACTTTCCTCCATTCCAAGATCAAACGAGAAGGAAAAGGAAATGACAACCCCACCCCCCCCCACCCCCTCCTCTCCTCATCAGCATCATTACATCATTCTCCATTCACACATGCAATCAGAACACGCTCCTCGTAGTGTGTCCAAATTCAACTTGGTTACACTCTCAACGGAACCCCTTTTATATTCAAAGCCATAAAGTCAATAGTATCTGTACACCAAGGCATCTTTTTTTTTTTTGCAAACTACAATCATCAGTTTCAAGAGCAAAAGCAGTTTCCTAACATCTTTTTGTTACAGTGAAGAAGATGCATTAGGTTACAAAGAAGGGAGGGATAAAAACACCAAAGAAGGACCATAGAGGGAATGTGACAAGAGACATAGCAGAGATGCGATGATTAACAATGATCTTCTCTTCTCGTTTTTGTTCTTTTCCTCTGATCGATACCTAACTTTAACCTCAGACTGCAATAAAAAGCTTTATTTAAAAACAACATGTGAGTTCAGAAACCCCTCTCTAGTGCCCGTCTCCAAAAAACCTTAAAATCAAGGTCGGCTTTGTTCATTGGCTAATGTATATATAGATAAATGGTGGAGCATCACCATTGTTACGTACTATATCTACCTGAAATGTATATATACATTAACATAAATACAGCCTGGGAGACACATAACGACAACACTGAAAACAACTGCTGTCAACAGGCGGTGCGTTGCCGTAACAACATGAATCACCAGAGAGGAATATTACATAAGCAGAGACACACGGTGAAAGACTCTATTGGCCTGAGTCATAGTCAGATTTGGGGGTTTCTCTACTTAAACTCTGCTGTTCTGGTCAACCCTTGTGGCTTTATGCTACTGGGTGAGTGTGGTAGTACACAAACAGATTAGCCACTCACTTTCATTCAGAATATAGGGATCATAACCTGAACCGATTAGAGCTGGGAAACGATCGTACGCTGTGTTTAGATTTAGTAGTTTGTGTTTTAGTTCTTACAGTCAAGACTAAAGGTGTGCGGCAAGAAACATGGAGGGGATGGCTAAAAACTACAATTGTCCAATCGTCGGCCAGGTGGAAGAAGAAGGAGAAACGCGGTTCACTGGGTGGTCATGGCAGAGCCGAAGGTCTCCTGGGAGGCGTACACCATGTAGAGGAAGCCATCTTGGTCCCGCTCCCGCTCGTACACCTCAGAGATGGCAGCCGACACCGACACCATGCTGTGTCCGTTGACCAGCAGGAAGAAGGCCTGGTTTGAGTTTAGCTGGAGGCGCCTCCTGGTGGGGAAAGAAGGACATGACATGAGTTAGGAGAGGAGAGGAGAGGAATGGAAGAGAGGAGGTAATAAAGGAAGGAAAAAAGGAACGAAAGGCAGAGGAGGTGGAAGGAAAAGAAAAAGAGGAGAGGAGATAATTAGATTAAAGCCAAGGAGGTGAAAGGAAAGGAAAGGAAAATAAGAAGAAAACAAATCCAAGCAACGGAAAGAAAAAGGAGAGGAGGAGGAGGAGGTGAGAGGATTTCAGGTTTACCTGATAATCTTGATGAGCTCGCTCATGTTGACGTGGTCTGGCACCAGGAACTTGGTCTTGTCCAGGATGGGAAGCTGTTTTTCTCCTTTATACCTCTCAATGATCACCTGCAGGAGACACACACACATTATCAATCAATGGCTTCTACTCCTTTATTCTGGTGTAATGTAGTGTTTCTTGTAGCTGTTTTCAGACCTGACAGCCTGGCAGCCCGACACTGTGTCTGTGATCAATAGTGAGATGAAACAGAGAGACGAAACAGCGCACACATATCAGATGATGTGGTAAAAATAGAAGACAGCCCTCTGTCTCGCTGACTTCTTCCTACGAATCTGAGGCCCATGATCACTGGACCAAGACTGATTTACATGGAGCTATGAACACACAATCTTTTATCCAGTAGAACAATTAATCAAGTGAAGCTGCGTTTCAGATAAGTCTTACAAACAGCACTGCAGATGCACAGAAACCACTTCATCACTGACTACAAGTGCAAATTACATGCATCTGCTGTTACACTAATCCGATGAGGCCGGCTGCCACTGGGCATGCTCTGAGTTCACACAATAGCACTCTCCATTACTTCTAGCCAGAGCTGCTGTGATTATGAGATCTTAAAGTCTTAACTAATATAACTGCTACCTTTGATAGGATTTTATACACACTATGAATACCTTTTTTTTTTTTTTTTTTTTTAATGTTATATCTTTAAGTTATGGATGGATGATGTATAAAATATTCTATTGAGGTAATGTGATATCATGACATTGTCAAATAGAATATTTTTTGGAAAATCAACTGAGAAAATGTTTAGTATGTAAGTATCAACACATAATGTCATAATATACCATATAACACATAATATCATTATGCAGATGGAGTTTTATTCTACTGTAAGATTTTTCTTGCTATAATGCCAGGGTATAGGTTTGGTTTCCCAAGTGGGAGGGGGGCACAAGACAGAAGTTCTTTAAAAAAAATAAAAGAATGCCGAATACTGTTTCCTGCATTTATATTTACATCAATCTAGCAAATAAACTTTATTACTAAACTGGTTATTTGGCTTTCAAACTAACGGTATTCTCATTGTTATGCTATGTTCATTGTGGTATTATTAACACACTAATGTCAATTAATATTACATTTGGTTTTCATTAATACTTGATTTCATACTTTATGATAAATATTGCTTATACAATACAGCCTTACTCTTTGAATGATGCTCAGTTCTAGCGTTGTTTTAGGAGTGTCAACTATAAACAAAAATAAAGATTCAATTAATTCTTTTTCCTCCAAAAAGTGTAGAGAAAATTGAAGATTTTTTTTCCCGTCATGCAGTTCTTCCCTCAGTGCAGGTACAAACCAACATCCAACAGTCAGGGGGCAGGGCAGGAGCAGGGGAGAGAGTTGTGAGAGACAGATTTAAAGAAGAATCAAAATCACAGCAGCAGAGTCCAAGATATCTTGAATTGTAATGTCTAGTATGTGTCAAGCTCCAAAAACACTGGATCCTACATTTCCCATTATGCAACTTGACAGCACCTTTCGTTTCACCCTGCGTGCCTGTGTAACTCCCCACCTACTGTTTGTAACACAACCTGGCTATGTGTTATTTCTATGTATATTAATAGAAGATAGCCCTGGTACTCCTCATAATAAGTACAGTGACTGAAAGATGCCCTGTTTTCTTGTAAACAAACATTATGTTTACATCAGTGTTTCTCACTGAAACACTGAGTGTATCCTTGATGCCTAACAAACATGATAAATACATTTTCTGCCTCATAGAACATTTGCAAAGCTGATTTTTTAAAAATATTTTTCCATATTAGCCTTGTGCATGTGTGTGTTGGTGTGTGTGCACGAGACAAACAATACAACCAGAAATAAACTTCTCTGTAGCGCTACCAGAGATCAGAAACTCCACAGGGTATTTCTAAATATGTAAAATCAGTGGAGTGCCCAGAATTGGAAAACATTTTAGATAATGACTAAATCTGAGAAATGAATCATATAGGATATTGATATTATATTGATGCATTGCCCAGTTCTTACATAAATTAATATCAATCTATTATATGCCAGTTGATTGCTTACTACATAGGTACTGTGTCATTTGTTTTCTGTTTATTATGCATGCTGAAAAGTGTTTTACTAAATCAAATTAAATAATTTTTTTTCCAACTTTGAATCTTTCCCTGTTTGAATATCAAGAATAAAAAAATGAATTGCTGATTTGAAATTTCAGCAGTTATTTAGAAATGCGTTGCCCCCTGGTCGGAATAAATGGAAGCAGCTATATTGTTGAGTGAGGCACTGAGAGCTATAGTCAGTCTGTCACAAGGTCCTCTGCCCCTCCACCCCCCACAGGCTCCACTGTGGCTGTCTGGATGGAGTTGCGTTACAGTGAGACAGTGCATCTGCCTCTGGTCTCAACACTTACCATGACATGGCAGTTTATAACCCCAGGGGAGTACACAGGAAACACATACTCACACTCACACTCACACTCACACTCCACACACACACACACACACACACACACACACAGTGGGGTGCTTTAAAGATGAGAAGAGGTCTTAAACGGGGCAGCAGATGGGAGACTGCTGTGATACTCTATCTCAAAATGATAAAACGAGCAGGTGAAACACGAGGTGTGCGTTTGTTTATCGGTGGTTGCTAGGAGCTGCTGGACATCTGACTTGTTAGCATCATCAGAACAGACAGAAACAACTGCTGCTTAGTCATACTGCCTAAACTGAACTGAATGATTAAATAATGGATAACATAAGTAAGACAAAAAAAAAAAAAAAAAACTGCAGAAAATGAGCTCTTGCAGAAACGTGTCTGATGCCTCAAAATGACGTGAAAATATCTCACATGCAGAGCACAACCAGGAAACATGTGGTAAGATTTTTCCGTTGAAGAGGTTTTGTCTTGTTCTTACTTGAGTCTTCCTGCGTTGTGCGTGTCATGATGATAAATTATTCTCAGTGTGAGAAAAACGTTAGGCTTTGGCGAGCCAATGAGTGACTGTGTGTCTGACTTTCTGAAAGTGTATTTCAACTCACAGGTATCTTGTTAGGGTGCTGCTCTCGGATCAGTCTGACATCTTCTACTCTCTGTTCTGCAGGGTGACAAAAAGAACAAAACAGACAGGTTAATGGAGGTGTACCGCCACACTGAGAGATTATCCGATCAAGAGAATGAGCTGATAAAACACAAAACAACTTCATACACAAAGTTGACACGGATACCAAGTCGTCAACATAGAAAGACAGGCAACTGTAAAAACTAGTCAAAGAAGACCGGGCAGGTTTTAACAGAACTTCTTTGTCACCTTAATTTGCCTAAAATATTTAAATCATCCCTTTCTGTGAGTTGATGCAGTTGGTGGTCACGTGAAGATCAACAGTGGAGATGGTTATTATCATAACCTGGTTGAACAGGTTTGTGCGGGTGTTAGATATCACACATTCAAGTAAGATCTAAACCAAGCAATGTGACAGCTGTTCTCATTCTTCAACTGTTTTTATCTAATCCCCCTTAAAATAAATATCTATAATAAAAAAAACATTAAATGATTCCATTCTTTATGGTTGTAATACTGAGCAGAGTAGAACCATTTGGGAACAATGTATTTAACAGACTGCTTAGTGGACTAAGGCTCTCTAGTGAAAACATAATGGGCTTTACTAAAATCCACTCATGGTGTAACCACATTGTTCCACAGTGATTAGCAGATTATTATACAGAAATTATACAGAGATCCACTCGGTTTCCATTCAATTAATCCAATGTGTGCCGACAAGGGAGCATGGTTTCTATCCCTTACAAATAGCTGAATGCACACCACACCTGCATGGAAGAAATCAAACAAGAATGTGTTAATTATACACTGGAGATTTGATATGAAGATGATGATCCCAGAGCCTTAACAATGATCAAGAATGGCTGGATGTTTTCTATGTTTAGTTTTTTGAAAGCTCATCTGAAAAACTTCATCACTGTTTTTTCCCTCCACAGCGATATCTCAAGAGGTCAGGTCAGGTGCTGATAGGACGGTTCACTTGTTCATCGGTGACCTAGGGCAACTCAGGCGCCTACTTTTTCAGGTTTAACCCAAGCGATTTCTAACCAAGGCAAAGTAAACAACAACAGATAACAACATGGGCTCACTGCACTTTGAACTGACAACAACAACAACACTGTCTCACAGGGTCAAAATGGGATCAGTTAACAAACTTGAACATGGGGGGGAAACACATCTCATCATCAGGATCATCTCCATTAGCTTTTAAACGCTGCATTTCAATGAAACCTTTGGTAGAAATTTCTGATTTTCTAGAGTTGAGCAATCAGAGGCAGTACACCAGCTCCTGTCAGCTGTCAGTCAGCTGAGGCTTTGAATTACTGGTATCCACTATTTATGTGCCCTCTGTTAGGATATCTAATTCAATCAGCTGATTACACACTGCTTCCAAAGGACAAATGTTTGTCTTGCTAAAGGGTGCCATTTTCATGCTTAACTTGAAGAAATGTAGGACACTGTTCCATGATTACATTTCAACCGGGGTGAGCTGACCGCCGCGGAACAGAGAAGCCCTGTCTCATGACCAGTTCGAGCAACAAACAGCCTGTGAGTCATCACTTTTCAATCAAGTCGAAAAATCATGGCAAAATGGGAAGCAGTTGACCTAAAACCCTGTCGGCCCCTTCCTCATCCTGTTTCTGTTCTGTCATAATATGGTAATTCGTCAGCACCACCTGACACAACTGGAAGATTCTATGAGATTCCCTGAGTCATGTAATGGCCAAAGATACAGATGTGCAACATGATTCACATGTGGAAGTTTGAACTTTAGACATAGTGATTCATACAGGCCTGGTGACAATGTAATGAACACTGTTAAACAACATGTGGTGCACAGAGGTAAAATAAAAACTGACGTACCAGCTGGTGAACAGTATCACACTGTAAAGCACCATTAATACAAACTGGCAATACATATAGATATACATATACATATATATATATATTCACATGACAGCCTTAACCAACAGCCAGCTGTATGTTTGAAAGTCTGAAGTTTAAAAACATCAACTTATATTCACTTTAGCATGTCCTCAAATACACCCCAACACACGTGACACACTATGTTTCTCTTTGCAGGCTGCCCCTCACGTGCAATGGCTGTGTAAATTTGGACCAATAACGTGATGTTGAACCGGAAGTCGGTTACTTTTAGTCATACTGGGAAATATATTTCCAGAGCAAAAGGCAACATTTTCCCCATCCCATTGTCCAAGGTAGATGACTCCTAACAGCTAAAGGCCAAATTACCAACCTAATGAGAATGATGAATTTCATAGAATTACATACATTATATATTTATTTTGTCACATTTACTAAATTCCTGGAAACGACTAAGTTACCATGTGTTTGCTGAGCACTGCAGGCTTTGACTGCGGCTGTCAGGGCTGGGAAAACATAAGTGAAACTATAATACGCATCGAGGCTGAGGCCTACCCTTCACGCCAGAAGACACAAAGCTAAACTCTGCACTTTAAACTTATCATTTCATTCTGTCCCCTGGCTGAAACTCCTCTCCTCTTCTCCTCCACAAACTGTCCCATCCCCCAATCCTGCAGCTCTCCCTTTTTTTTCTCTGCCCTGCATTTCGACACCACTTTGTTTTTCCCCACCGCACTGATGCAAATAAACACACGCACACTCATGGACACAGAGGCCTGCAGCAAACACCCTTATTCTATTCTATTCTATTCTATTCTATTCTATTCTATTCTATTCTATTCTATTCTATGCTATTCTACTCTACTCTATTCTATTCTATATTTAAACCTGTATGTATACAGATGGGAAAAATGTGTCTTCTATCTTCTTTTAGATAAGTTGACAGGTCTACAGATCTGTCTGTGGCTCGGTCTTATTGAGCTGTGCAGACGCAAACCTCCACTATCTCCCTCCCTGTATGTTTATTAAACTGTGCACTGAACCAGCCTTGGACGCTAATACTCGCCAATGGGATAATAACTACCAGCTACCTGGCCTGTCCACATTAGCGCTGTAATTCACTCTTGTACAGTTCAGACAAGAACTGGGGCTCCAGCTATAAACCTACAGCATTAAATAAAGGACATAAAGCGGCAGAGTATTAGAACCCAACTGTGATTAAAAAAATAAAATGAAAAACCTACCGTATGTCCTTCTTTGTTTGAAGGTTTTTTCTGAAGGCATATTGCGTCAAAGTCAACCAGTTGGCAGCAGATGAAAAACGGAGGTAGCGGCTGTAACAACGCAACAATAGAAAAGCTAAAAACGGTTTATAAAAGTGTCCGTGGTCGCGGTGCTGGTGGCTTATTGGTGAAATACTGACCGAGGAGCAGTAGTTTACAGACTGTTTGATGTCGACGCTTCCTTCCTCTGGCTGTGTTTTTATCTCGAGCAAGCTCGAGCAAGCAAAACAAACCAGTCAGCTGACATCTGACGTCATCCACCCCCTCCCTCCCTCTCTCTCTCTCTCTCTCTCTGCCAAATTCAATCCAAATTCAATTTAAGACAAAAAACACTTCATTAGCGTTACATAAACAAATCTAAGCATCCGGTTGTAGGGATTTAATTAGTTTAAATGGTTCGTTTTTAAATTCTTCTTTTTTTATTGTATGACTTCATGATCCATTTACAGCCGTCTATGAAACTCAGTTGCAAACAAAAATAATGAACCTGATGGGTCATCCAACAAGAAAGGAAAAGATAATTAAATAAAATACAAAAACATATTTAAGTACCTATAATAACACCTCAAACAAAAAAATGGTTCTATTGTATTTCTATGTAAATGCTTTATTTAAAGTAATAAAGCATTTACTTAATTTCATATTTTAAATAGGTATTAGAAATAGGAATTGCAAAAATAATTTATAAGTAAACTATTATTTCATCAATAGATACTTGAGATTTAAGAATGGATTCACAAAAATAGCATAAAACAATCATTAATAACTACATTTATTAATTAATGAATAAATAATAGAACTTGAAAAACTATTTGAAAAGGTATTTTAGAAATAGGAACACATTCCTGGATTCCCTCTTCAATTTCCTTTTCCCAGCTGCGTTTTACTTTTCCTATTAGCTAATCCATATATTATAAACCAGATATGATTTGACTGGTGAGCTCTCCAACTAATCAGTGCGCTTGTTACATCCCATGGCCAATTAGGATTGTTTAGCCTGGAGAAAGGAAACCCAATTATTTATTCCCATTTTTAAAATGCCTTTTCAAATAGTTTTTCAATTCTATTATTTATTCATGAATTAATACATTTATCTATAAATTGTGTATTTTTATTAATTAATGCTTTTAAAATATGAAATTAAGGAAATGCTTTATTACTTCTCCTGTGACAGCCCTGGTCCTCCATAGAGACCAACTGAAAAAAAGGAAAAATGTTGCATCTTCATTTAAGGAATAAATGTAATTGTGACCAAATTGATTATTACAGTTTAAGTGTTTTTTTATTTTCACAGTATTAATATAGTATTTTGTACCACTGTCTTCAAATGGCCACAGTCACTGCTCTTTAGGAAACAGCTTGCATGTACCCTCAAGTACCATATTTGTTTTAACTTCCTTCCTGTGAACTGATATTTTGCCAAGACTTTGAATTTCTGCCAAAGAATCTACAATCGCTCAAATAGAAGAGGAAGGAAATGTTTTGCAACTTGACTTTTGACATATAAGAGTGTAAGGTATAAGACTTTTTATTTGTGTCATGTTTTATCACTTATCTGTTCATAAAACACAATGACCAGCACTTTTACAGTGGTTGGAGACACTGCATATACTTTGGCTTGTGGAGACCTGATGTGACCTCACTGACAAAGCCAACAAGGGTAGTTCAGCTCATGCAGCCAGTGAGCTAGAAGCAATAACTTGCATTTTTGGCCAGTGGAATCAGCAGCATTAGTTGTAGTATCATACTTTGTTAGCCAGTGCATTTTTTTATCTGTTATTAAACAGTAAAATTTGAAACAACCCTTCACTACAACTCTGTTGTCTTATAGTTTCAACATAATTTCAGTTACATCTTCTTGGTGTAGAGATCAACATGTGGAAAGCGATGCATTTCAGTATTAAAGTGGGATAAAAATGTCACTGGAAGGTCAACAGGTCAACCTCATAGATCTGCTCAGATGATCAAGTAAAACTGGTCTTACTCTGAATCCTTGAATTCATGGCAAGGCTCCAGAACCAGTAACTGAAACATACTCAGTCACAGTAAAATTAAACAAGTAAAAACCTTAAATTGACTGTTACACTTCTGATATATTAGTATACACAGAAATTGACTGTTGTAGCTGCTCCTTGTATTACCTGAGTGAAGGTGAATTTGACTACTTTGTGTACTGTTGGTAGGTTAATCTACAGCAGTCACATGTGTTTTTTCATTGAAAGATCAGGCCTACATGCTGTGGAACAAAACATTCAGTAGTTTCCCTTTGAGATGTCGCCGAGTAGAAGTGGCACAAAAGTAAAAGTAACATTGAACTGTAATTGAATCCAGCTCTTAGGTAAATATATTTAATTACTTCTCGTCTCTGCTCATTGGCATCAGCTTCGATGGCACTGACAGTTCTTGGAAAGTAGGCCAAGAAGACGGTGCAGTTCTTATTTTTGTCCAGCAGGTGGAGAACTCTGATCACTTGTTGCTGCTAATCTGACCTGTCAAAGGGAACGGTGCTGGTCCATGGGACAAGAGCTGAGGGGCAGGGTCTACCTGACATCTGTCTTCACCTCATGGTGGAATTTCAAAAATCAGTTTTAGACTCACCTCAGTTTGTCTTTTAATAAGAAAGGCTTGTGATGCAAGACAGACTCTGACACACTGACAATACAGGGGTCATGTAAAGTAAATGTTTGTTTTCCAAGTCAAAATGAAAGACACAACCATGTCCTGCACAGCTATGAACACACACATGCAAGAGATCTTGATTGTATCTCAGCTGCCTACGTCTATGACGGATGAGAAGTCAATTTGAAATGATCTGTAGTTTCTCTCTCTCTCACTCATTCTCTCACACAGATACACACACACAAACACACAAACACACACACACACACACACACATAGTATCATCTACCACAATCAAGCTGTGTATTTGAGGACTGTGTGTGTAGGTGTGTATATCCATCCTTTTCTTTCCAACTCAAAGACAGCTGTAGCAGCAGATTAAACATGAAAATGTGAGTCCGGGCTTTGCAGTGCATGTGTGTGTGTGTGTGTGTGTGTGTGTGTGTGTGTGTGTGTGTGTGTGTGTGTGTGTGCGTAAATTCTGTGTCTGAGCACACACCTATGAGTCGAGGGGACACCTCTGCCCTTGAATCAAATATTTGCTGTCAATATTTAGACCCCCCTCCTCTCCTCCTCAACGTGCCTCCACCTGCTCCCTCCACTCATTAGGTGATGGTGTTGTGATTTCATGGTTCTCACCAGGAGGCTCCACAAGTGCAGAGCTGGCCTCAGTCAGCTGTGCAGATGGCTGAAGTGCTAATCCATGTGATATGAAATGTTGACACTGTTATAGTGTTATATGTTACAGGGAGGTACAATACTAGTGTGGTCGATAACAATAACAGGTGAGGGATATGAAGGGGCCAAAGGTGAGGGCTGGGTGTGTGTGGGCTTGTTTTACTATGTTCGTGAGATCTGGAAACTGGGAGCACATGGGTCTGACAGGTTCGCGGGGACTAAGACTGAGACGTCTGTTTGGAGGTCAAGACTTGGTTTAAGAGGTTAGGCATTCAGTTGTGATGGTTAACGTTGGGGTAAGGGGCTTGGGAATGCATCGTGTCAATGACAGTTCCCCAAAAATGAGCTTGTGTGTGTGTGTGTTAATCTTGCATGAAATAATGTCTACAGTGCATGCTTCAATGCATATAAACACACATGTATAAAGCAGCTTTTAATTCTTAATTTCAATGCTTTTATCTTTGGTTTTTTACTTTTGGTTTTATTTTCTTTTGTCTGTTTTATCAATTTTATTGTTTTGACATACAAATTTGTAATTCTCTTGCCTTGCTAGCTGACACTTTACCTCTCTTCTCTGTGTCTTTTATTGATTTGTTTTATTTTTATGTATGTACAATACTTTGTAACTCTGTTTTGAAAAATGCTACATAAATAAAGTTATCATTATCATTATTATTATGGACAAACTCTTAGATGAAGCTTTGCTGACTTTACACTTTAAAGTAGCTACAAAACATGTTGCTCTCAGCACTGATGGCTTGTTTTTTGTTTGTTTTTTGTTGTCAGTGAAACTTCTTTATATCAGATATTCCCAATGAAACTGCTCAAAGTAAGATCTGTGGATGATCTTCAATAAACAGGACCACACTTCTAGAAAGACTGGGTGAGTTTATAGAATATAATTTTTCAGTGCTGTGATGAACACAAACAACATTTCATTTACCTCAGGTATCTTAAAATCTCTTGTTTTTTAAGCTACAACTTACACTCTAACCACACTCTTTGTTTTAATCGTGGTATGTATTCATATTGCAATATAACTATACAAGTCAGTAAAATGTGTAAGTAATCACAAAGTTTACTCATCATAATAGTTGAGAGTAATCATGTCTGACTGCCAACTGGAAGAAGTGGGGTAAAAGACAACGATGGCTAATGCAGAGAGAACACATACGGCAGCCATTTCCAGAGTAATAAAGCTGTGGTGCTTCAGTCATCAGTGGACATATTGTCTGCTCTTTATATGTCAAAGAATTATGAAATTCCCCTCCCTCTATAAATCTCCTCTGACCTTCATTCTGTCATAACCCTGTATCCATATGATTATCTGCTCTTCCCTCCACCAGTTTGAATAGTAAACCTGAACCACAGGCCTCCCTCACTGATCTACTCTTACTGAAGCTCTTAAATCCATCAGAGTGGAGGGGAGTGTTGGTGATGGGGTGATTTTGCAACCAGAGTAACAAGCAGTCCTGTTGGAGGGGATGCTTTCGTTTATGAAAAGCAAACATTTTTTTGCTGATGAGCAGTTAGGAGGAGGAGTTTGTGTTTGGAAGTTGTAAATCGCTGTCTCTGTTGTGGTGATGTGGACTTCTTCTAGAGATCGTAGGACCCTCGCAAAAGGCTGTAGTCAGGCACGTACTGTCAAAACATTTCCCCTATTTCACATCATACAATCATGTCATTTCCATCACAGTGACTGATTCTGTACAAAATAAGAAAAAAAAAACTACTAGCTACTTAAATCAAGCCCAAAGACATTAAGCATGGACTGTACAAACAGTGGGCAGGCTGGATACAATCTTATGTATCAGGGGAGACTGGGAACGGTGGCAAAACTTTTTGTATTTCTCCAACCAAACTTTTATATATTAAACTAATTACCCATACCGTTTGAAGATGATTACATACGACATATCATTCACAATATTATTTTGTATGGAAGAATTCAGATGTTGCAACTGACTCCAACCCTGGGGACAGCTGCAACACGGATCAGGGACGGTTGCAACATATTAAAAAAAAGACATTAAATTTTCCCTTCTGTCTTCCTGGTGGGAGGATGGTCTAACTGAGCACGTGCAGTACGAGTGTTATCACTCTAGTATGTTTCTGATTGGACGAATAAGACTTGTTGCAACCGTCCCCAGTCTCCGGTAATGAATTACTACAATTTAAAGTAGTTATCATTATCTGTTATTTTGAGCCAACTATTTCACCCATTTATAAATTCAGCTATCTTTTTCAAACCATTTATCCCTGCTAATTATTTGAACTTTACTTTTAGCTACTTTTGAGAGCTAGTTTGCTGTCACTCTCAACAGAAGCACAGTGTTCCAGTGTCACAGTTGACTCAATGTGTGGATAGACAGTATATTTTAGTCAAACCATAATTTTTTCTAAATTAGCGGAGGTACTCTTAAATCTTTCTTGAAGCCCCTGGCAACTGCTCAAGGACCCCTCAGGTACAAGTACCTCTGGTTGAGAACATATAATTGAAACTAATGTTTTAGAAGTTTTGTGAGACCCAGAAAAAAATCTCAGTAGCATGTAGCCTGTACAGTCAGGCCTCTTCCACATGTGTGTCGTTTCAAGTGCTCTTTCTCTACTTTCTCTCAGACAGTAGGTACAGCTTGAGTTATTACGCTTTGACCATGAATTACACCTGACAATAGAAACTCTAGTCGGATGTTCTTTTGCGAACATTTCATGTTCAGAGTATTGGACATGTTAAAATTTAAGTAAAACAACGATGAAGATCCATGTGTTGTTCCTGTATATGTGTGCATTTCACTGTCAACCCTGCTATGTGTGCTCGAACAACACAAGTGTAAAATTAAAACCACAGTGCATCACTGTTTCTGGATTTCCATAGGCGACTGTTGCCTAAATAATTAAATGTATGTATGTGTGTGTGTGTGTGTGTGTATGTGTTTAGAGGCTGCTCTGAGAAGCTGAGCACTGCAACAGGAAACACTTAAAATTGTGGCCTTCTCTAGATTACATTGGTTGCACTGTTGCCAAGACAACAGCAATTAGAAAAGACTAGGTTACCAAGCAGAGAGCGGTTATGTTTCCGTAGCAACCAAGGTCAGGGAGAAGGCTCTAGGTTTACCTGTATGGGTTAGGAATAAGACAGATACAACATATTTGTTATTGTTCTAAGTATGTGGAGGCATCAGGTTCATGCAGAATCTTTTTTCTGTTTGCAGTGAAGACGGTGATGCAGTAACTTTAACTCCACAGTGTCTTGCATCCTTATTGGCTTTTAAACATCTGTGGGGAAATTGAATAGCGAGATAGTTAAGTAGTTTAGAATTGAGGGGAATTAAGTTTGACATTTGCTACAGAAAACTGGAAATGTGTCACTTCTGGCAGCGTAGATGGTGCAAACACAGAACCCAGGACATGTGAGAGGAAGCGCTAACTCACCTTCCCAGCGATCAAATGTACACCAACCTGCACATTTTCTATATACAACCTGTCTGCAGGGATGAGGACGACAGACAATGTGTCCTCCTATATGTAGGGCTGTCTGTGCCTGCTGTGTGCGCTTCCTGTAATTAGTTGATTATCACAGCATGTTGTCACACACCAGCTTACACAAACACACTATAATGACAATGACATACCGTGGCCTCCTTAAGCCTTTATCTTCAAGATAGTATTTACTGTGCTTATGCAAAACTAAGCAGCTGCGTAATAGTCAGTGCGCTCACACCACATCGCCCCCCCACATCTCCATCTCCCTCTGTCCTGCTTTGTCGACCACCGTCTCTCAACAATTCTCCACTTCTTTCATCTCTGCATCATCTTTCCATCCGTAAATACCTTCTTCCCTCTGCCTTAAACCCATGTAAGTCTGTCTCTCTATCACACACACACCTCCACTTTGGTGTGTAACCAGAGGCTAGGAGAACACTTAATCCCTCTGCACCTGCTTTCCATACCACCATGACCTCTCTGCAGCTGCCCTGGGTGTGTGCCTTTTTGCCTTTGTTTGTTTATTATACATGCGTACATGTTGATGTATTAGCAACTTTGCATTCATGTCAGGACTTGGGGGGGTGGGGTGGTCAGTCCATTTAAATACTCGTAGATTTGTTTATATGTGCATGTGTTCGCGTTTTTAATAACACATTTGAGCTAAACAGATGTTGTGTTTCTACACTTTAGCCTGCAAAGCAGATGGACGTGATATAAAATAGCCCCATTATGATCCTATACACTGCAGGAGAACAGACTGAAGGGATCAGTATTCAAATTAAATATGATGACACTTACACTCTGTCATATCTGCTCTCCGTATGTGGTACAAACGTGTTAAAATCATTTCAACTTAATTGTAAAGGCACATGGATACTGTCTACTGACTGTGCGGCTAGTTAAGAAATATATAGGCAATAGGCAAAGTATGAGGAGGAAGATACTGAGTCTGCTGAGTAAAATAAAACTACTTCATGAAATGTTTGCACTTGTTTTTCTGCTCCAAACCTTTCCCACTCACGTGCATAAAATAATCCTCCCATGCTTGCCTATGCGTAAGCTCACACACACAGACACAGTGTATGAGTAAATGTTTTCTCCTACATATAAGAGAAAATACACAGGTCGATATTTAGAGGTGGGAAGCAGAAGAAAATACCCATTCTACTTGCTTTTTCCTGTCAAGCACTGAAGAACTCTTATGTACAGTTAAAAACTTGTAACCTCAGCAAAAACAAACATGGTGAGCAAAATGTATACAAGTTTATTGACATAAAATATATACAAACAGTAAAATGTTAAAAAAAAAAAAAAAAAAAAAAAAAAAACCTCTTTCCACATCCATGTGAGAAAAAAAGCAAGTTCGTTGGACAGCTGGTCATGGACCAACTGGATAAGCAATTCTGATATGAATGCGCAGCTTTCAGTGCATGATAGAAAAAAAAAGAGAAAAAAAACACCTTTGGTTCCTTCTAAGAGGTCTGGCTACCTACGGCTTCTTCCTCTCTCGCGCGTCAATCACTCTCTCTACATCTCCATTTACACTTATTCCAGTCTCTCCTCCCTACTGGTCCCTCTTTGTTCTGTGGAGGAAAGGGGAAAGAGAAGGCGAAAGGAAAAGGCAGAATTGCTGCCGGAGGGGGAGGAGGGGTGGAGCTGGAGTGACCACTGTGTGATGGAGGGGGAAAGAGGAGAGAAACAGTGGTTTCCATCAGGAGGAGGGCGACTAACAGAACACACTGTTTTGTGCCTCCTGATGGAGGACGTGTTTGTTGTATTATCACCAATAGCTGCTAACAGAAGCCCGGCGGTCCTGCATTTTGTTTCCAAGGGTGAATCCACAGGCACTCAGAGGCTCTTAGGCTCTGCTATCTATCTATGCATGCAGAGACACACACACGCATGTGCGCACACACACACACACACACACACACACACACACACACAAGGTCCTCACGCGCAGACGTGCCTCATGTGGAAGTTGACCACATACTCTGCGTTGGTGCGCTGGACAGAGATGGCGAAGGGTTCAAAGGGGTGGAAGGTGAAGGCGACCAGGCGTCGTACGGCGTGATTTACCGGCCGTCCCAGCAGCCCCGCCTGGATCTTAAACTTCAGCAGGCCGGAGTCACGTGCGTAGAACCTGGTGGATGAGAGAGGAACAGACAGTAACCGCATTAAAACTCAATGTCTAGTCCCGTCTGTGGCTTTCTGTTGGCTTTGCCTGCTTTGTGATGAAGATCCATGTCGCTATTCTTTTATCCTGTCTGAGGAGCAGGTAGCAGATGTTGCTACAAGACCGTTGATGTCGGATATACAGTATCTACAGAGGAAACTCAGAAACTCACTGTCAATAACTTTCAGTTAATCATTTTATTTGTAACTTACTTGTAGCGCACTTTTGCTACATTAGCTTCTTCAGTTACACTCTGTGGCCTCATTTATTGCACTACAAAATATGTTTCACTACCTGTCGCTATATGCTGAAATCAGGTGAAGATGAATGGGAAACAATAATGATAACTCATTAAACTTGTCTCACTTTGGACATTATTCATGGGCTTTTAATGATAATTTGATTCTGTTACATCATTTGCTTGGAATTAGAAGCTCATTCACCCTGATGGACTCCGTACCTGATGGGGTGGTCTCCGCAGGTCTTGGGCCGCTCCATCACCGACACCCACTTATCGTCGTAACTGAAGAGGGAGAGGTCGAGGTAAGGGCTGCTGCTGTAGGACTGCGCACTGATGGGCAGCTGACCCAGCAGCCGCCGCACCGCCTCAGTGTGGCCGCCATATTTGGCATTCACTATGGTGTCCTTAAACCTGAGGTACAGACAGACAGACGTTTCATTGATCCTAAAACATTTCTCCTCTTGGTTTGATTTGAAGTTCTCAGAGGGGTGAACAGCCTGGTTTCTACAATAGCTGCTTGCAACCTTTGTTGCAACACATTTCTAGCACTCAGCAGTGACTCAGTGGTTTCACTTTCCCTCCTCTGTTCTCTTTATTCTTCAGTCCTCCAAATTCTACATCTATATTTTTCAAATATCCTCTCACCTTCTTTTGTGCTACAACATCTTCAGTCTTATAGGCCTGTCTGTTTCTCTGTGAACTAGGCTTCGCTCTTGGCAAGATGAAAGCGGTAGAAATTCGGTTTTGCTGAACGTACTCGCCAGCTTTCAGTTTCTCCTCTCCTTCCTCCTGACATCATTTTCACCACTCTATAATCTAATTCAAGCCTTTTTTCCTCATTCAAACTGTCCTTTATCGTCACCTCCTTCTTCAGCCCCCTCCTCTCTCTGCTCCTCCTCCTTCAGCCTGCACTGAGGATTTTGTCACCTATGATGGCGAGTCGGACTGCCAAATTCAATCACAGCTCCTCCAGCCGCACTGACTGTCTTAATATCTCGTTCCTATATCCAGATTAAGTCCTAAAACTCCTTCCTCGTCCTCCAGGCGATCGCTGCTGATCTGCTCCCCCTTCCTAACCACAGCTTTCAAATCCTCCCTGACATTTGGCTGCACAATAACAGCTGCAGTTTTTTTTTTTCTTTCATTCAGAAACCAACCCGACTTCGCTATTTACCAGCACAATCATGGTCAAACTGGAACATATATGTAGGTTTGGCAGAAAAATAGATGGCATTTTTATCCAATAATACTCCTCTGCAGTACACATGGTGTCACTCCCATGTTTCTCCTCTCAGTACCTTCTCTGGACCTGCCGGGCGTAGTTGTTGGATGAAGCGGAGCAAGGGAACTGGACGGCCTGGCTGTGTAGCGTAGCGTTTCTGAACAGGTCACAGAAATTCTCAAACAGCTCCAGCAGCTGGTCGGAGGTGTTCTCAAAGACGGCCAGCACCTCTGTAGACACCATGTTGTACACGACAAAGAAGGACGGCTAAGACAGAAAAGGAGAAAGAACATTAGCTAAATATTCTGTAGAATTTTCTTCTTGAATGTGTGTTTTCTCTAATCATAACACAATCCTCCCTGTTCTGCAAGAATAAAAACCCTCGGCTCATCAGAAAAAGTGAGGCATTTATTCTACTATATCTATTATCTAATTCAGGCTTTGGCTTCCAGTGGCGTGTGGTGACTTTTACAGATAGGAGATAGGATAGGATATGTCTCAGTATTGTTCACCTTTCCTCGCTCAGCATGCGGATTGTAGTTGGGAAGCACAGAGGAGACAAGGGAACTTGGGTCTTGAGGAGTTGTAGCATTTATTTATTGGCAAACTAAAGTGGACATACATTGTACTGCTACATTCACAGCTATGCTGCTAACTTCTAACTCTCTGCTCTGGTCACCAGCGCCTAGCTATAGCTAGCCACCTGCGTAGACTATCCTCAATGCGTGTGTGCAAATGTCCAAAAAAATGCTGCTCCCTTCTCTGCCCCAGCATTTGTCAACGAGACACCGAAAATGATCAAAACTACAGATACGACGGCTGCCAGTCAAGCTAGCGTTCAGAGTCACTAGCCTGCTGCTGCCACAAGTGGGCAGTAAATTACATGATGGATGCAAACAGGTAACAGAGATCAGATTTAAGGAGAGATATCGCTTCCACTTCGGTATTATTCTAATTCATGTCTATTTTTAGCTCTAACTTGTCAACATACCGTTTATTCAATATGACAGAATAATACGGTATGTATTCTTCATCGGTGAGATGAAAGTAACTAATCAGCAAGGACGTCATGGAGAGCTTAAGATTTCATGTAAATATGGTGAAAATTAATTAGATCTATTTACTGTCACCATGAATGAGACACAGGACTGCACAGAATCTGTAGGAGAAACGTGTCCTTGGAGACCTGAAAGAGGAATCCTTTTAATACAGCACGAACAACAAAAGACATGAGAGAGGAAGGGGAAAGCAACAAAGAGAGCAGGGGGAGGAATTCAGATGTGTGTGTGGGCTTGTTTTCATATCCTAGTGGGGACTCTGAATACACACTAACCAGACTGCTTCTTGAAGGTAAAGACTTGGTTAGAATTAGGTTTAGGTGCTAGGAAATGCATTATGTCGATGAGTTGTCCCCAAATGAATATAGAAACAAATGTGAGTGTGTGTGTGTGCGCGCATGTTCCTACCTGCGAGGGGTCGGTGACTCTGAGTGTGACAACATCTTCGCTGGTGTATTTAATGAAGAGGTGATGCTCATCCAGCAGCTGCATCTTCCACATCCTCAGCCTCCTCAGCTGATCAAAAAACTGGAAGAATCTGACGACACACGAACTAAACTGATCAATAAATGAATATCACACATCAGTAACATCATGGAAGTGGAACAGCCAGCTTTGGTAATCGACAATTAATTCCAATCTAACAAAATGTATAATAATAATAAGCAAAATTACTCATTTATAGATTGTACAGTTCACACAAAATATTAGAGCTGAAATGATTAGTCAATTAACAGAAAATTATACAGCAACTATTTTGGTCATGTGTAGTAAACTGAACATTTGGGAAATTATACTGGATATTTTATACTGAATATGATACTACATTTCATTTAAAAGATAAAAGCATATGAAAATTCAATTCATTTGTGAAAATTATTAGATCTACAGTGATATCTTTCAACTCTTATGATTTCACAGTGTACTAAAAATAATTCGTCATGGGAGCGAAGGAACTTTAAAGTAGGTATGTGACATGGTGAACATCCCACTCATTTATTTGATTCATAAACGCACTGTGTGCAAGTAACTTTGTTTATAGAGACAGCCGCCTCGACGACGGAGCACAAGAGAGCTCTTAATGTGTTTTTAACCAGGACTGAATTAATGAATGGCAAGATTTAATAAACTGAGGAGCAGAAAAAGTTCTTTTCACATTTACAACATTGCTGCAGCTCTGCTCTCTTCTCAGGACATACACCGACAACCCAGTCCAGCCAACCTGACTATGAGATGAATCTGAAGGACTGACAGATACAAGTTGCTGTGATTTCTGAGGGTGCTTTTACCCTTAACCTGTTTGGTAGCAAGAAGACTGTAGTGCAGTTCATTTGGGTGTGAAAACAAACCAGACAAAGAACAAAACTTGTCATAAAGTCAAAAAGTGAACTAAGAAAGAAGAAAGAAAGAAATCCCCTGACCCGTATGAGGAATTAACGCCATATATTTATAGAAGATCATTTTGTAACCATGGTAACATGTATACACATCACCACTTGAGTGCAGAAACTTTCACCTATGAAACAGACAGTGAGCAAGAGTTGAAACAGAGGTGTGTTGTGTCGTACTTTCTTTATTTTCACAGTTCCTTAATAAAAAGTGGTTGAAAGGAAGTGACCACAGCAGCAAATACACTCCCATTATATCAAAGCAGGTTTTGGATCGTGGTTTCAGTCTCAGTTTCAGAATCATTACACGTACCATTAAAGAATAAACAACAGTACAGTCCTGCACTCTGCTGTAGTTAATTTCAAACCTGCGGAATAAGATTAGCAAGTAAGTGAATACCACTGCGGCCTGGATAAGCACCACAGAATGGCTGAATGGACGCGAGCTAGTGAGCTATAAAATAATAATTTTAAAAAAAGATTGAAAAGAGTAGAGTAATCTTGCATACCTCCTCTTGGCGGTGGCGCTGCCATCCTGCTCAGCCCTCCTCCAAAGATAGACCAGCAGCCTGTGCTTCAGGGAGTTAATGGTTTTGTCAGTGTAGAGGCGAGGGAAGCCGGGCTGGCTCTCAGCCTGAGCCTCCGTATAAACTGCTGAAAGAGTCAGCAGGTCGTCCTCGTAACAGAACCGCCCGATAGTCCTCACGTCCAGAAACGTACCTTCTGGAGTCACCTGGTTGTAAAGGTAAAAAGGAGATTAGGGGTGATAAGACAAAGTTGATGTCTGGGATTTCTCCTCAGTTCTTTCAAGATCAGCAGGTCACATTTTCAAAGCACTTCATGTAGCTTCACATTTCAAATCTACATGACATCACTTTCTGCTCACCTGAAAGACGTGTATGGTCTGCTGCTGGACCGATAGCACAGCCAGGATGTTCCTGTAGAGGTAGAGGCCCTGGTTGTGGGACAGGATTATCTTGTCACACTTGAAGGACCTAGTGTCACAAAGCCTGCCGGTGTGGAGGTCGATAATGTGGAGTGAGTAGTCTTCCAGAGGTGACCGGGGATTAGGAGTCACAGATTCATTGTTACGATACACCTGGTGGGAAACAAAATATGGATGAAAGATGCAGTCTGAGACTAACTATGGAGGTAAATTTGTAGTTTTCATTTTTTTTTTTAGTTTCCTTGTAAGTGTGTAGTAAATTTGATGGTGTTGTTACCTCAAAGAAGTATGGTGGCGGCTCTTCTGGGACGTACACAGCCGACCCAACGATGACATAGCGGCAGTCGTCGGTGAAAAGGCTGCACTCCCTGTTTAGGTGTTCTCCATTTGAGGCCACATTAGTGACATGGAGCAAAGAGAAAAAACGCTCAAACAGACGGCCTCGGATGTTGAGGGAGCGCTGGTCATTGGCTGTCAGAAGAGTCTCTCCCTCTTGGCCTCTCAGCAGGTCCTGAGCTGCCTGGCAGCCTTGGTATTCATATATCTGGAGGAGGAACATTAACATTTGAGCAGTTTTTCCTTCATCTTTTTGTCTCGTGTAAATTTGGTGGTTAGATGGAACGAGTATGTTCCAGTCCACGTGCTTTTGACTGATGGGAAATAAAAGTCAAACAATATATGGCATTTAAAGAGTCTAAATCTAATGTTTTGAGGAGAAATATGGAAGAAATAAGACACAAAGTTAAAATTGAGGTTTCTCTCCTCCTACCTCCAGAGAAGTCTGGTCAGAGGAGAAGGCGATGAAGCAGCGTCCATCTGGTGAGAACTTCCTAAGGAAGCAGGGGGGCTTCTCCACATTGACCACAGTGAAATTGGGGAACAGGTTCTGGTGGAAGCAGCGCACTCTATACCAGTGAGCTCCAGGTCGGCCTGAGCAGATCCTGCGCCTCTCGAGACGATGGACCACATTCTGGTTCTGGATCCGTCTGGGTTTCAGTGTTGGAGTGTCCTCATCCATTGCTGCGACCAGAGAATGATCTCAAACCCTTCCTCAGTAGATAGTTAGACAGATGGTGAGTATGGTGAAAGGACTACATCACCAGCACAGTCCAAGTACCTGTGTTTTCAAGACAAAGTGAGATGGGATGGAAAAGATGAGGACTCAGCCACATGTTGTACCTAAACCCCCAGCTGAGTGTAAAATAAAAAATAATGACGTTGTAGTACTAATTTTACTTAGAACATGACCCTTTGCATGTGTGAGTGTATATTTATTGTACATGCCGAAGTTAAAAACCACATAGGAAACAAATAATGAACAGAAAAAAACAGACACAGATACAATAAGTTATCATAAGGATGTAACTTAAAGTTAGATATTCTCTTTACACTGTACACATGCACAGTACTTAGATGTGTGAGTGTCAGGCTGTAAATAAAAACAGAAGTATTTCAAAATTACATGATAAAAATGGCAATTTTTCATTTAATATTGTTAGTAAAATAATTTAAAAAAAGACTCTGTGCTCTAACTAGGAATTACAATTTACATTTTTCATTTATATACTGTATATATATATACATTTATATATATCAATGATTAATACAAATCTAATTAATAGGTTACTCAGTAATTAAAGGAATGTTTTCTCGAAGCCATTATGAATTCAGTGATAGTAGTATATAATAGTGAAGTATAACCTCAGTAAAACCACAACCACACACATTAATGTGAGCAAGACAGATTACACAACGTGGTAGCCGGGGTAGTTTTAAAGAGGATAAAAGCAAACAGTAGTAGCAGTGGTACTGAAGACAGAGGAACACAGAAACGTAACGTAATGTAACGTTGAAATGTAACGTTAACGTAAATCTACGCACAGAAATGACAGGAGGGACTTTTATGTGATTTGATTTAACTAGAGTCCAGAACCTGAAGCCCCTGGTGTGGGACGTGTACCACTAGCTTACCGAGCCAACTCCACTATAAAAAGCAGGTACCGTCGGTTGTATCAGTAGATATTTGACACAAAGCGCTAATACTCACTATCCCACCACCACAGGAAGATTTCTGGTTGCTCCAAGTTCAGCAGCCTGTGTTCGCAACGCCACATAAGTTTGGCTCGCGAGCTCGGCAAGTTACAGTTAGCTTGTACCTCTCGTTAGTCGTAAATATCCACCTTCACTTATTTATTTAGTGCGCCAGTGAATGTAACTTATCACATTTCTCCAAATATCAGACCCCCTGAAGCATTAACGAGTCCAGGGGCAGCGGCTATGTTTGTTGTGAGTGAGTCGTAGAGGAAACGTAGAAGAAGAAGACAGCGACGCCGCACTGAAATGTAGCACAGAGGCTGTAGTTTTAAACAGCGCCAACACATCCTCCTCAGGTGAGAAATGGTATTGCAACCTACATTTTTGATTACTCAAAACACATTTAGAAGCAACAGACTATGCAATTTTAAAACTGAAATTATTGATATTATATTTGACATTGGTTTGAGATGACTGAAATAACTTCACTAAATTAAAAGTGTGCCATAATAGAGCTGCTATGAATGGTTTTCTAACCTGTGTGTTCTAATATAGGACACACCAGTGCCCCCAAAGTTACTGAAACTAATATAATGTAAACACAATTCTGAGCATCCCAGTGTACCATTTTACTGAATACAATTTTAAGTAGGTAATTGCAGTGGACTGCATTTTGAGAAAACCCTTATGGCGGACACACATGAGCAAAAAGTACGCCTGCTGATTTCACTGAAGTGCCAATTTACTGATCAGTAGGTGGGTTTGCAGGTGGGGAGCACAAGTGCTCCAGCAAACTTTGAACATGATTATAATTGCTGCGACTCAATTGGCAGGGAAAGACAAAAGACCTTTGGCCACTCTACCTACAGTGTACAACTGTCTTGTTTGTTTATCCCATTTCATTTAATTGATTTGTTTATAACAGCACGCAGCACAAGTGAGCCCAAGGTGACCAGCATTTTGCTCCCCATAATGACAGATAATTAAATTATGATTATCCTCTTTCTTATGAGACATGTTCTTACGGATTGAGAATAGCATTATAAAGAGAAAAAGAAAAATGCCCACAGTACATTGGTCTTGTACGACTGCTAATGGTTCTTTGTGCAATTATCCCTGACCAAAGAGTCTCGTTTAAATGTTGTAATTTTCCATAAAAGCACATGTAGTGGGCATAAAAGGCCAGTTTGAAAAGAAAAATGAAGAAATGAATGGGGGGAAGGATGTGAAATTATCCACTTTAAAATCTAATGGCATTTTCCTTTTAAACTATGTCTGATTAAACTTATGTCTCATGATGTAGATGTGTGTGTGTGTATGTCTCTGTAATGTGTGTGTGCATCAGCGGTGCCTGTATTCTTCTGTAAAGCCTGTGCCTCCAAATTTTGTGTATGTGTGTGTGTGTGTGTGTGTGTGTGCATGGTGCATGTGTGTGAGCATGTAAAGGTGTTTGTGTGCTACGACAATAACCCGCACAGCAGTAATTCAAAACAGAAACTATGTACTATCCATGAGTTGTTTTTCTGTTATTTTCCCTCTAATAAACCGCTCACAACACAGGACCCTCGCCTCAGCTTTTAGCATCAGCCCATGAAGTAGAGAGGGAGAGCGTACATGGAGTGTTTTCATACACTTTCTAGCCTATCTGCCAGAAGACACAGTGCTTATTTAAGATCTTTTTTTTTTCATCCTTCTGGGCTTTTTACAGCCCAAAGTGGACAGTGTCTATTCTTCCTGCTCTTGTTCACATCTCTTTCTTGCGGTGAAACAGCACAGAAATTTTGCTCTTAACTGTATGCTGTCAGTACTATCACCCTACCCCAAAATGGAGTTACTTGAAAACTTCAAATTGTCCTCTTTTTAGCAACCAAAGGATGTAACCAGGGCAAACAGTAACTTTTTTGTGGCAACAAGTCTTATGTACAATATTTTAAAATGTAAGAAAAGACAGAGAGAGAAAATATATAGGGCTCTCTAACATCCTGTTTTGGAACAGTAACTAATGGAGCTGAACAGAGCGCACAAAGTCTGCGATTGCTGTTATTATCATCATTGCAACGAACAGAAATTTCTAAAAGAGCATTTGCATTAAAGGACATCTGGATGAAAAGTATAGAGCAACTACATTGACATGATACAACTCCTATATAGAAGGCACTTAGAAAAGGTTATTCAAAGCATGGGGAGCAAATAGAAATACATAGTTTTACCATTTCTTCCATCTTTTTTTTTACTCAGACATTTGTGTTTGGCATTTAACAAAAGCTTTTAACTTTTCTATCCAGCCTAATTTCAGAGCACAATAGGACTTTTTAACACGGTAACTTTGCAATCCTTATGGAGCTGAACTTTTCGTGTCTTTTGTGACAGTGGATGATTTCTGCTTTTTTTCTGAGAAATTACAGTGATCACAAATGCATTATGGCAGGCCAGTTCGCTGCAGCCACCTGGGCGCTGCAAAGTGTGAAGTGCCAGACTGTGAGAGAGGTGGACGGGGAAGAGACGGGTTGAGGGGAAGATGCAAGTTAGTCCGTCTCCTGCATTGATGGATTAATGAATGGGCCAACCCAGCAAAGACCCAGGGGTCGAAGTGAATCAGCAGACCTGAGACAGACCCTCCAGTGTTTGACTTTCCCATTACAGTGTCAGCGTCATGTATTTGTGAAAAAAAACATCCTTTAATTCAGGGAAAAGTAGAAATACAACAATTCACACTTAATTATTATAAAATAAGTCCTGCTTTGAGAAAGTCACTTAAGTATGTAAGTATAATTAGCAAAATGCACATGTGTGACTATTTTATACATATATATATATATATATATATATATATATATATTATTGTAGTTTAATCTACGCAGTATTATGGGATGATCATGTATTTTGTATGTAAACCCTTTGTATTAAGTAAGTAGGCTGAACACTGCCAAACAACTATGGTGGAGTACAAAGCGCACTATTGTTGGTGCAAGTAAAAAGTGCAATAAGTGTGTAAGTATAAAGTAGCATAAAATGGAAGCACTCCAATTTGAACTTAAGCACTTCATTGAGTTGTACATCCTTCTTCATACGTCCTGAATTGTAACAAATAAAATCCTTTACATGAAATTAAGACCCACCCCATTCAAAAATAAAGAAGGAGGAATCCAGCGTCTCTGCTCTGGACCCCGTTCCATCAAATCAAACCAAACTGAATCTAAAAGATTCACACATATTGTCAAATCACACTTTATGTGAGTGTGGGAGTGAGTGAAAATAATTGGTTGAACAGCCCTTCAATGTTTCAGTATTACTGTAAAAAATAAATACAAATAAACATTCATACAAATAAACACAAATACATACACGCTGGTACATAATACATCTCATAATTCTCCTGTGGTGTCTCGACTAAGGTGTGTTTATAAAAAAAATAACTGCATATGATAAAAGACACATTAACTGACCTCCAACAATACATTTGAGTAAGCAGCAATTTAAATATATGCGTGTTTCCTGCCCAGACCTTTAATACCACTCAGAATATATTTATCCCCAGAGTGTATGAAGCAGGGAGGCACAGGCCAAGTGGGACAAGGGCACGAATAAGAGACCTGGATATTTTACACACAAGAAAGGATCATAAGTTAAATACACACACACACACACACACACAAACACATCTCCCAATTAATCATATATATTTTCTCCAACCTCCTGTTATTCATTTTAGCTGAAAATTACTCCTCAGCCTCTGGAAGCCATATTCTGCTTCTTGTGTGTAATTGGTTATAAGGGAACCCTCCTGCTAAATGTCCCACATTTTCAATTTCAATTTTCTTCAAGTGAGGCATAATTTTAGATGTGAGTTACCAGGGGGAAAGGAAGGATAGTGAAAATGCAACCGCCAGTACACTTGTTTGTCCGTGTGTGTGTGTGTGTGTGTGTGTGTGTGTGTGTGTGTGTGTGTGGGTCGTGGTGCACCTGTTTTTTTTTCATTTGCATGTGTATCCATGTACTTATGTAGGCTAATGTGAAAAATTTCAATTATTCATTCCTTTCTCTTGATCATCGCGAACAACTGAAAATTGCTATTTCACAATTACAGTTACAATTCAGTTTTTTTTTCGTTTTTTCCTCAGAAAGACACCCATCCCAGTTTTTTCTGTGTTTTCTTGCTACTGACTTCCTGTTGAATTTCCCATTCGCTAGGCTTTAGCATGATGGAATTAAAAGCAGCAGCTATAGTGTTTGTGTTTATGTGTGTGTGCAACAGGTACCGAACGGAGAAACAGCACCAGACATTGATCACAAACATGCAGGACGAGGCCAATTTTCTCCACAGGGTCAAACTTTCGCCTCGCTCAGGTTAGCAGCACAAGATAAGAAGACAGGGACACAATCTTTTTTCAGCATTTTTCCCCAAAGAAAAAGAGACCATGCTCAAAGGAAGAGCTTAAAAAGAGGTCACCTGAACTTGCCTCACTACCCTCTCGCATTCCCAATTCAGTCAGAGGCGAATGGCCTTGGTGGGGGACTGAGCGTCTGTACATATTACAGCCGAGTCTCAACAGCTAGAGCCGAAGCAGGCCTGTAATTTCTGCCATTTGAGACTGTGAGTTGAAAAGCAGAGTGATGGGCACTTTTCTGTTATTATCCCTTTGGCAGAGTGCTGGCTGAAGGAAACAACCATGCTTTAAGAACATGTCCATCAGTCGTTGGGAGTATTTGGAAAATAACTCTGTCATGTTGTATCGTTAACTTTGAAAAGCAATTGCGGTTGCACATGTTACAGTATATTAGATCCCACCCTGCATCTGTGCTCCTTGCCTGATGCATTTTATGGCAGCAGCTGTTGAAGCCTCGGCCGCTGCTTAAATGCTCCACAACAGAACTTTGCACTTTCATACTCAGATCCATGACTTACAATCAGCGGGTTGCCAAAACTTTCCTTGTCGCTGAAAAGTGTAATATCATAGCAGCGGTGTTCAGTAAGGTACAGATTTGCATAAATGTAATATCATCTAATAGAAAATTCAACATATTCACCTGGAAGGCCAAGCGGTCTGTAGGCCTGATGCTAAGTGTGAAAAACTGTTCATGTCCGCCTCGTATTTCTAAGTCAAAGCCAGATATGTCACAAATTTCTAACAGCTATAGTATTTCCCACTCAGCAACAAGAACTTTGTGTCCAGAAACAGGGAAAAAAGCCACCACCACTGTTAGTTACATGTAATTAAAATGCATTGTTGTTATGAATC